AAGAGCGGAGAACCCGAAACTTTGCGCTTACACTGGCCGATGAAAGTGGTTCTCGAACGTTCAAGGGGCACACTCAGGTTTTATGAGGGAAACGGGAAATGGACTGCGGGTTTTGAACAAATCGCTGAACGGGCGAATCAAGAAAGGGTATTAACAAAACGGCAGCGTTTAAGGCCCCTTTGCTTTCCAAAACATTAACTGGGCCGATTTTATCATGCCCACACTGTATAAGCCCACATATAATAAATGATCCATTATCCGTTCTCCATTACCAAACTATCAATGATGGAATGGATTTTAATCATTTCATATATAAAAAGAACCACGGTGATGAAATCGATTTGAGAAATGCAAATAATAATCCCACACACTAACACATGGAAATCAAAATACATTTTTTTTTTGGTGATCCGAATATAAATTAATGTCAATATTTACGGAATAAAACCCTTCTTTTTTTTTGCGGAATATGTATTTCTAATAATTAAGATTCAAGAAGCATGATTGATTGCTTTTGTTTCGCCTTTTTGTCTTCTTATTTATTTTTACGATTATTCAATATGATGATTATAATCTGTCGCCGGAGGAACCGTCGCCGGTATGGGCCAGGAGGGTGGAACGTGGGACACACGCGCCGTGATTGCTGGGGGAATGACAAGGGAAACTTGCCGTCAAGATAACGTCAACGTGTGAGTGCGCAGTCAACTTCAACCTTTAATTAATATTCGAAGTATTTAATCCTAAAAAAATTATGCGTTTAGCATTACATATTGAGACAAAGTGTATAATGTCATATTATATATATATATATAATTACAAACATCATAGTATATATATTTTATGATTAAATGTTAAAGATAAACTTCCGAAGAAATGGGTGTGTCCAATATTTTCCGAAACGTCACATTCAAACCCGCAACACGATAGAAGCGTGACCAAGCATGTCGTATTTACACAGACGCACACGCACAATCATATACATCATATACATAGAGATAGCTGCATGTCTTATACATGAGGAGCTTATCTATCTTAAAGTGGTTGGGAAATGTCGATACGAAAATGGGCTTACTCGCGCCACGTGGACGGTGGAGATTCACTACCGGAACGAAATGTGGGATGTGAGAGTGTCTTGATGATGAAGACATAAAATGTACGTAGGTCATGACTCTCATTTGTGGTCGATTTCAGACCAATTGGTCCCAAAGCCAATAGACTTTATATATATATATATATATATGCGTGTGTGTGTGTATGACCCATTTTTTTTCATTTTCAGCAAGCTACGATGCATGGAACGCAACCCTTCTCCATCTCTATCGCGAGATATGCATAGCATGTGGTTGACGTGGAATTAAAATCACGTCAGAGATGAATGAATATATATTCCCTCGCATTATTCAATGTATCTGAATAATCCCAAGCATTGCTTACAATAGTAACATTTCCATTTAGGTATACAATATATACATATATATATATATATATATATATATATATATATATTCATCTCATCAACTCTCAACAAAAACTCGTGTTTCGATGGATCATTGGATATACACTTGGCAATGACGAGTATACGTAAGATATTATTCAGGCTATCCCCATGTTATCTTTTCTTATTTTTCCACACATATATATATGTATACATGTATGTACACGTATATTGATACGTACCAAGCTCGGGGGTTTCAAAGAGAACGGCTTGCCTTTACTTGTTCTGATACATTAGATTATATACAACTTTAAGAAGGTTAACCTAGGAGATAATTAAGGAAACCCAAATCTCGAGCTATTAACAACCTCCCGTAATACATGATATACGATATATCACATTACCCCCCTCAAGTTGGAGCATATATGTTATCTATGCCCAACTTGTCCAAGAATGTGTCAAACTCCTTCTTCCCGAGCGATTTGGTGAAGATGTCTGCAAGTTGGTGGTGAGTCGATACATGGCGAGTGACGATGTTGCGGTTGGTAATGTGGTGGCGGAGGAAGTGACAGTCAACCTCAATGTGTTTCGTGCGTTCGTGGAACACAGCATTTGCTGCAATTTGCAAAGCTGATTGGCTGTCACTATGAAGCGCCATAGGTGCAGCATGATCGACACCGAGGATGTTCAACAGACCCTTAAGCCATAACAATTCGCATGTCGTAACAGCCATTGCACGGTATTCAGCTTCAGCCGAAGACAAAGAGATCGTATGTTGTTTCTTGGATTTCCACGAAACGGGAGATTGTCCGAGATGAATGATCCAACCAGAAAGTGATTTCCGTGACGTAGGACAACCTGCCCAATCGGAGTCACACCAACCATATAAGCGGAGATCGGAGTCTGACCGAAGGAGAATACCTTGTCCCGGTCGGCGTTTGAGATAACGGACAACTCGAAGTGCTGCCTCCCAGTGATCGTGTCGCGGTTCGTTCATAAACTGTGACAAGATATGAACAGCGTACGTAATGTCTGGGCACTGAAGCAGCAGACGAAGTAATCTCCTGTTCTGTACCAGCGGAAACCAAGGCAGTTTTCAGTTGCGGGGTTGGTTTCGAGCAATTCTGGGGAAGCAGAGGTCTGATCAGTTGGGTCAGAGGCTAGCGCATGATCAGCTGATGAAAGATGATCAGGTGGAGCAGAAGAAATCACAGGCGGAGCTGGATATACAAAAACATCACTATCATCGAGATGCAGAGGAGCCGAAGGTTGTAAATGCACAGTCGATGGAGAAGAACCCAGTTCTTCCTGGAAAGGAAACCGATCTTCACAGAAGACGACGTCGCGAGAAACCTGGAACTTCCGTGTTTCCAGGTTAAAAACTTTCCATCCTTTCGTTCCCGATGGGTAACCAATAAAAACTGATTTATGGCCTCTTGGAGCAAACTTATCTCCAATTCGATTTTGGTTGTGTACATAACACAAGCTTCCAAAAATACGAAGATGATCGTAAAGCGGTGCATGGCCGTGAATCAGTTCGTACGGGGTCCGACCATCAAGAACTGATGATGGAGTCCGATTGATTAGATATCCCGCCGTTAACACACTGTCCCCCCAATATTCGATAGGTAAATTTGCTTGAAACATCAATGCTCTTGCAACATTTAATATATGACGGTGTTTCCGTTCAACTCGTCCATTCTGTTGAGGTGTCCCGACGCATGACGTTTCGTGAAGAATTCCCTTTTCAGCAAAGTGATGTCGGAGACACATAAATTCTGAGCCGTTGTCCGATCTGATTTTCTTAACATTGCTGTTAAATTGACGTTCTACGAGAGCAAGAAAATGTCGAAGTTGTATTGATGCCTCAGCTTTGTTCTTTAGCAAATAGATCCATGTGCCACGTGAGAAATCATCAACTATTGTCAAGAAATATCGTGCTCCGGAGAACGAGGGTGTTCGGTACGGCCCCCATAAATCACAATGAATCAACTCAAAAACCTCCGAGCTTTTATTGATACTCAACGGGAAAGAATCTCGTGTCTGTTTTGCACGCAAGCATACATCGCATTGCTTATTAACGAAAGAACTAGCAGCAGAAAATTCAAAACTCGGAATCTTTGCAAGCACACTCGGTGAAGGATGACCCAAACGCTTGTGCCAGACTTCAAGAGAAGGAGAATCCAACGTCCGAGTAGCTGCAAGATTCGCTGTACTGCGAAAATAATAGAGACCTCCTTTCATATCACCCGCTCCAATCGGCGTCTTGGAAATGCGGTCCTGGATGAGACAGAATCGTGGAGCAAATGTGACGAAGCAATCAGAAGCAGCCAATAGTTGAGAGACGGATATCAAGTTAGCATGAAGACCAGGAACGTATAAGACATTCGAAATTCTGAGATGGTGGCCGAGTGTAACAAGACCCGATTCAATCGATAATGTCTGTCGACCATCAGGAAGAACAACCGAACAAGGCAAAGTCGAATGGAGATATGTGAAGGCAGATTTATCCCCTGTCATATGCTGAGAACATCCAGTGTCTAAAATCCAAGATAGAGTTGTAAGCTTACCAGTCATGTTCTCTGAGCATTCGGTTTTCCCGACATTGAGCATTGTCAACAGGGCCTTCCACTGATCTTCGGTAATGCCAGGAACGAATCCTTTATCAGCATCTGTCACAGTCGGCGAGGGGACAACAATGTTCGCGGAAACTTGAGCAGCATTTGCGCGAGCTATCGGTGTTCGGCTTCGATCTCCCTGATTGGCTGGAGCAGAGATTCCTCTGCCTCTTCCGGCTCTGTTTCGGGGTCTTTCTCCCCACCAGTCGGGGAAACCAATGATTTTGAAACAACCTTCTGCAACATGGCCAGCTCTTCCGCAATTCGAACACACAAGCGAAGCATCCTTCTCGGTTGGTTTGTGACGGGATTTCAGCATAGGGTTCGGTACAGAGCGTACCGTGAATGCTACAGCATCGTGTCTGTCATCGGTATAGCTGGTGACATGCTGGGTTTCCTCGTCCTGAATCACCATGTTATAGGCTTCCTCGAGGCTTGGTAGAGGTTGTCGCGAAAGGAGATTAGATCTCACAGTGCCGTATCTCGTCTCATCAAGGCCAAGAAGAAATTCATATAACCGATCTTCATTCCTCTCTTTTTCGAGTGTAGCTGCAATGTCGCACGAGCAGCGACCACATTTGCAAACTTTCAAGGATCTAAAGTTTGCTAGATCGTCCCATAATTTGGTCAGCTTTCCGAAGTATGATTCAACTGTCATTCCGTGTTGCCTACAATTGGCAAGATCACTTCGAAGTTTAAGAAGACGAGGAGCGGTAGTCTTCCCAAACCGACGCTTCAAATATTCCCACAAATCTGTAGCAAATTCACGATGAACCACATCGGAACGAAGGTGCGGTTCCAGAGTGTTCTTTATCCACGAAACAATGAGTGCATTGTTCGTATCCCAATCTTCGAAGTCCGTTGAATCAGTTGCAGGTTGTAGAATGGATCCATCCACGAATCCAAACTTCTTTCTGGATTTGAGTGCTTGACGGATGTTGATTGCCCACTCATCATAGTTGTCTCCACGAAGCAACGGCCGAGAGAGGATCAATCCGGGATTGTCACTTGGGGTCAGGTCGTACGGCGATATTGTTCGTCGGGGAATCGCTGTGTTGTCTCGCCCATTCATCGTCGATGTTGAGTTCGAAGGGTTGGTCGTGTCGGGGTTCGAGTGAGGAGTCGGGATCGGTTCGGCAGATGTGTTTCCGGTATCGGTGGCCATTGATTCGAAAGTTAAAGCGGATGTTGTGGTGGTCGGAGCTCTGATACCATGATACGTACCAAGCTCGGGGGTTTCAAAGAGAACGGCTTGCCTTTACTTGTTCTGATACATTAGATTATATACAACTTTAAGAAGGTTAACCTAGGAGATAATTAAGGAAACCCAAATCTCGAGCTATTAACAACCTCCCGTAATACATGATATACGATATATCACATTATATATACATATATATATATACATACGCGTATTAATTATACGTGGGTTTTGGTTTCTGACGTAAAAAGGAAGGAAAAAAAAAAGATATTTCGTGGGAGTTGACTGTGGCATTCTTTTAACGTGGCCACTGACCCAATCTTCTCACATTGGTTGTATTGTACTCGTAACTTGCCTTTCCAATTTTAAATATACACCAAAATATGGGCCCCACCTCATCCACCTAATCCCAACCATCGCGTTTGATAAAATTCCCAAAACCAATCTTATAAAATAACATGCAAAAGAAAACAACCCATAAAATTTATACTAGTATAGTATATATATATGTATACATGCGTATATATATATGTGTGTATATACATATGTATAGTTTGTTTGTGCGTGGGTCTGAAATACGGTTCATTAAATTTATGTTAACTGAAGAAGACTCCGTGTTGCACGAGATATCGAATATCGGTTGACTAGTCTCCGTATACTTACATATTATATATACATAATAAATTGATACAGTAAATATTTATTTTATTTATAGATATACAAATAGATGTAAAGGAGTTATATTTTATATATCAACACGCTTTGCGTACAATATATTGTGATTTGGCGTGTATTTCAATTTTTTTCCCAAAGGAAGCATTAACATATATGAACATATTTTTACAAAAACAAAAACTATATGAACATACTTATGTAATTTTCGTTCTATTCCAAAAAAGAAAGAAACTGCACAGTTTCATATTAATATGGTATAAAATAATTGATTATATTTGATTACAGAAAATAATAAATAGAGACATATGGGGTGAAAAAGCCTGTCACGCTCTAGAAGAGAAAGTAGATATACGACATCTCCCAAGTTGCCCCCTCACTTTTTGGCGGTGCGTGAAAACCCGGAAAAGGACAAACGAGACTGAAAGGTACAGGTGAATAATGGAGGGAGGGCCCGGGGGTAAAAACGTCATTTCGTTTTACTAAATTGTTTAAGGTTCTTCCTTCTTTCCTTCGCCTCCACCTCCACCTCCACCTCCCAAGTCCCAACCGAAAACGACTGCAAAGCAACCTGCGGTCTACCTGCTTATTACGCTAATCTATTTCTATATTTATTAATATTTCCTTGGTTGTCTAAATTTTGTCTCTCAATATAAAATTTATGGACCGACTTGCTATTAAATAACCTTTTTTACGTATAAATATAAATATACAGTTATATATAAACCATTCACCAGATCTCTCTCTCTCTCTCTCTCATATATACACAGTTTATCTCCCTTTCCTTCGTCTCCATCTTCTATGAAAATGGTTGATCTTGAAACTGTGTGTTGCATGTGTGGTGATGTGGGTTTCCCTGACAAGATCTTCCGTTGCAGCAAGTGCCATAACCGCTACCAACACTCGTAAGCATATATATATACACATATGTGTGTGTGTGTGTGTGTGACTGTTTGTGTTTTCATCACCATCATCATCTTCGTCAGTATATATAGAGTGCTATGAGCGGATATTGATAATCTAATTAAGATGGGTCAGCTTTATTAATCGCGAGTCAACGATAGTTTATACATTTGTAATCTAAAATCGTGTGATCAATGATGTCTACGATATAACGTTGTTCTCTGATGAAAGCTCGTACATATATGTGTTCATATATATCCATGTGAAACCGAGAAAGAACAACAAAAAACTTCAACCATGATACCATATATATACATGCATCATCATCATCATCATCATGGTCTATAGGTACTGCAGCAGCTATTACAGCGAGCAAGGGGAGCAAGTTGAGGTGTGCGATTGGTGTGAGAGCGAAGCGAAGAGAAAAAACGGCGGGAAACATGGCAACGGCGGCGGCGGCTCGTCAAAGAGGTCGTACCGTTCGGAATATTCCTCCGCCGACAGTATCAAACAACAAGTTCGCCAAGGGAATCTTACACCTCCTCCGGCCGACAAGGCTAAGATCGGCGGCGTACCTTCTCCTCGGACGACAACTCGCAGGTACAAGCTTCTCAAGGATGTCATGTGTTAATTAGGTGTTAGAACAACGGATATATATATATATATATATATTGTAGGAAGAAATAAAGAAGAGGTGATTAAGATGTTGTTTTGGGCCATTATAAGTTGTTAGAGATAAAAAAAAATGAAATAAATTTCCTCCCTATATATGATGGCTTTGCTTTTTCTTCTTCTTTTTTTTTTTATGTGTGATATCTCTTTTGGTGGTATAGTTACGTCTTAGGTTTTCATCTAAATGGCAGACTCTTCAAGTCCAAGTCACGTATGATGAACAATTAATCCCACATGACAAACTTTATATATGTGCTCCTACCCGGCATGGATCAATTGAATCTACCAATTTAAAATTTGGATTATATATATTAATGATTACCCCATGTTTTAAATTTTATACAGAAAAGGCACACTCTCGTGCTTTTAAAGTTGGAAAGAATGCTAATATCATTCAAGGCATAGACCCAAAATACCCGACACACGTACACGTACGTACACGTACACGTACGTATATTGACTGTATCATTCCCGGATATGTATGCATGCACGTATATGTATGTATCGGTGCGTACACATGCGAGTGTGATTGTGTTATGATAGACACATCGACATATATTGTTGAGATTCTGCAGGAAAAAATTAATGCTCTTTGTAAGCGATTTGCCGAGTTGCCTTTTTTTCGGACCAAAGAAGATGGAATAAAAACTAAAGCTGCCAACTTTTTTTTTTCCAACTTCTTGCAATTAAATACGTTCAAAGTCCCTTTTTTTCGATTCCCTTCGCCATTTGTTCACGTCGTTGCCAAAAAAAAAAAAACTCTCGTAAACAAACACGTGGAGTATATAATTTCGTTCCATCATATCATATCGTGTACATGGTAAATACACACGTGTACTTTTTGTAATTTTATTGTACGAATAATATCTAGGCTTATATATGCTAAAACCGGGGATTTATCTATCTTTGGAGACTTTGTATTATAAATTTTATGTTACATGTGATCTATCCATGACTGATGAGTCACGAGTAATATGAGTTGCTGCAATGATTCTAAGTGTCTCTTGTTAGAAGATTTGAATAATAGTTATTTCAAGATTTCATTTGCAAACCAACCCTGCCGAAAGACACACCGTGTTAGCATGTGTTCCTCCTCCTATGTCACTCGTATTTAAATTCAGTACATTATTTGTTGATGTATATATTGCTTACGCGTTAATAAATATACATATATATATATATATATATATTGTTTTCCATTATGTATAAACTTTCTAACTCAAGAAATCAATGTATGTGTATGTGGTTACTCGTTGTTCCTTTTTTTTTGTACAAGAAATTCAGTGAGGGCGTTTCGAAGACTGATAAATCGCAGCTCTGTGTATTTGTCGGTCCATATTTTTCCGCCAAAGTACAAGTTTGAAAATTTTTAGTAGTTTTTCTCTCATATATAATAAAATTTTAAATGTAATATTTACAACCAATAAAATATACTCAATTTGTAATTTCTCAAATAATAATATATAATTTACGTTGATAATTTTTATAATTATTGTTTTTGAATAATTTGTACAGTAGCAAAAAATTAATAATTGATGATTTTTATGATAAATTTTAAATATATTTTTTGGATATATAAATAGAAAATTTGAAAGTTTTTTTTGAGTTTATTTCTAAATCTAATTTTAAAAAAGTAAAATTTTAAAAGCCGCTGAGATGTCTTAGTTTTGAATCTTTGATTCTCATCACATACCTTTTATCAAGACATACTTTTTGTTCAGACAGTTGAACATTGTATACTCTGATTTGTTCGTCAGATGCCTTGCGATACAAGTAACATGTTTAAACATCGAGAAGCCTTTTTATTTTTTTTAATCTACATGATCATGGGATCCGATTAGTCTACAGGTTGAGATGACATGAAGTGATCATGAATATGAGAGATTATTTTACTAATTTCTACTGTAAATACGAGTTTTAACTATATATATATAGTATCAACCGTTATTTTTCTCAGCTTTTATTTTCTAGGTTTTTATATTATAAATTTGATTCGTTTCTTTGGTCTAAGATTTACACAAACCGATGCTGATGTCTTGATGTTATATAGCCGTTTCACAAAATATGTTTACGTCATCTCCATATCTCCGACAGCAACTGCGGCTGCGGTGAAGAACAGGCCATTCTCCTGGTCTTCCTCCGAGGACAAGGTTCTTCCCATGATACCTCTGCGCATATGCATATCTGTCTGTCTCTGCTATGTGTTTAGTCATCGAATTAGTCCAATTGATGACGCTGGTTTGCCAGAATTCTGACTGTTTTCCAATTTCGAGTTTTTCTTATCAATTTGTTGTAATTTATCGTGCATTGACTCCTAGGACTGAAATGACTGCCGTGGACGCTAAATTTTGTTGCTTGTTGCCCATGTCCCGCTGCCACCGCCACCAATCCGGTTTCTAATTGTCGCTGGCCACGTTGTCTTGATATTATTATGGTTATAAACTCGATTTGGTTGGTTATGCTTTTGAGGATAATTAAGTTCTGTTTGGTGTATCTGAAAATGAGCTATAGGTGGAGGTGGCAGAGTTGCAACAGCGTAAATGGCGAGTTGGCAGCACTGAGAGCAGGAAGGGACGCAACAATGGTGATAGAACCACAGATAAACAAAGGTATCACTTTAACAACGATAAAATATATATTTATATGAAATGAATGTGTTCACTGACATCTAGGGTTTTGACCGGGACCCCCATAGTAGAAGTAAGTTCCCCAATCCTTACTTGACAAAACATTCAAATTATAACAAGTTGGATTAGTAGCGCTGGATCCAAGTCTTCCGGGATCTCTCAGGACATTCGACGTATCGACTACGCCTAAATTTCGGAAATAACTTGCCTTTTGAAATCCTTCATCTGCAAAATGTCCACTCCCCATATCCGTAGTGGTGTGTTGCCCGTTCGTTTTTTCGTACGTAACTTCGCCTCCCCAATCGATACGTGATGCACCGTTTGCTAGCTTTGGAACTATAGAACCGGGCCAATACCCTATAACCTTGTCTTCATATCCCAACCACCAATTTCCTGTTTTTGGATCCTAAGATGGACAAGATGATGGTTTTAATCAACATCAAATTAGTATTGTTTGGATAACAAGGAATCTAATTAGTGTTTGAGCTTTACCTTGGAGATAAGCAACGTGATACCATATTGAGAACCACCATAGGTGGATATGGGTTTGATTGAGGCACCAAGAGCAAATGCGTTACTGGTCTGAACAAAGCCTGGGCATTCAAGATTGTAGCAGCCTGTGTCTTTGTAAGAATCCCTCTGTTTTTGTTTGGAGAACTTGTTAAATGACCCATACTCTTTGAATGGAGAAAAAGAAAGAAAAAATCTACCAAGACCAACAAAAAACTTACGGTCCAGAAAGTAAATAATCTTGGGTCATTTTTACCTCCGGCAACCTATCATTACAAGAATAAAGGATTTGAATTCACAATTAGAAATGAATATTGAGCTGAAAGGTGTTATAAAAAATGAAATACCTGCCAACCAGCTTCTAAGGTATGGAGGTCAAAATCCCTAACTCCATTTACGACCCAGATCTGAGCCAAACTAAACCCTTTAGCATCTTCTTGGACTTCGGGGTTCCATACGTTTATCCACGCTTTTCCTCCATTATATGTACCTCCTCTAACTGACACAACTGCATACTATAGGTTCTCCAACACACAATGAAATAAAAAGACAAAAGGCATAAGGGGCATACGAGGGAGGAAATATAATAAGTTGAGCTGTGGACGTGTGGGCAAATACCTCACGGGTTTGTATTGTATTTTGATACTTTTTACCGTATTTCTCGCCTCTTAACAAGTCTTCTTTTGTTAATCTTCTGATCGGAACGGTGTTTTCGGGGCATTCACCGTTCATGCGCCAAAGTTGAGCCACAACTTCCGAATCCATAGCATTGTCCGAATGCATAGCACTCCGTTTGAAAAGATCTTCTATATGAGAACTAGGCCTCATCTATTTACAATATTTGTCAAGTGCAGGATAAAGATTAGTAACTAATTAATAAACAAGTAAAACAAAGAAAGATATGGGATATTCCAAATGGATACATGATATTGTATATAATATACCTGGATAGTGTGGTTTCTAAGTAGAGGATCATCAAAAGCCGGTTGTTCAGTAATGACAATACAGTCTATGATATCTCCATCTGGGCTCTGTTTAATTTACGGATTAAAATAAAACATATCTTTATAGCTTTTTGAATTTTTTTGTATATATCATAAAATATTGTGCTGCAGCACTTTGTGTGTATGTATATACCTGAATGGATTTAAAAGGAGGCTTGTTGTGTTGCTTCAACCGTCTTTGGATTTCGTCTTCCGAGATTTTGAGCTTTTTGGGTTCGGCAGAACCTAAGCCTAAGGCTATCGTCAAAAGGACGAGAATAAAACCTATTCTTCGATTATTCATGATCCTGCGAAAGAAACTCAAATTTCTGATGAATACTTGGTGGAATAATTGTATTCTGTGCTGTCTATATATGCACACACACATTAATTGCATGATATTACCAAATATGATGATAATTATTATGGAGTGCTGCCAAATATTAATTTTGTAGATTACGTAATATTACCAAATATGATATGAGAAACCGATATTTTAATATAAGACCCGCGTTTAATTTTGCAGATTATGTGGTTTTTGTGAGAAAGTCAAGTGAGAAGTTTACCAGGCATTCTTGAAGTGCCTTGATATATTTAGTACTGGAATAATTAAAAGAAATGACTTGCAGAATTTGTTAGTCGACGATTCTTTATGGTTTTCCCAAATTTGCAAACATGATTGTTCATCATCTCAAGTCTAAGTCTTACCTTTTAGCAGACGATAGACCTCATATACTGTTATAGATTTGAATAAATCTAATGGATTAGGGCCAATATTGAATTTTGACATATTGTATGCCAAACAAAAAATTCGTATAGAGAGTGACGTATTTACGTAAATATGTGTGAAGAAAACAATGTATATGTATATATATATAAATATGTATACCTGTATGTAAATATGTATGTGTATGTATATATATGTGTAAATATTATTTATTTATTTTTATATTTGATTAATAATTTCTTATTTTTTAGTCTTTATTTTATAAATAATAAATAAAAAAGCATATATTAAAATAATAAATTAAGAATATATGTATATGTATATACATGTATGTATATATATGTATGTATGTACATAGATATCTATATATGTATGTATATACATGTATATTTATGCATATTAATTTATGTGAATAAAACATTACGCATAATTATTTATATATGGATCTCTATATATATCAACTTTGACTATTCCCAATAGGGCCAATACAGTTGTTTTTTCATGGAAATTATGTGTCTTTACATATAAATATACACATTTAAATTGGTATATGTTGCTTAAGACAATTTTCTAAATATATAATATTATATTACTAACTTTTTATTCACAAAATTTATGATTTAAGAAAAAATATATTAATCATATTTCATTATATTTATATTCTATATGCATTAATATTATATTGATTAATTAAATTATGTATGTATATATATATATGTAGGTGTATATATACATATATGTATATATTTATTTAATAATTATATTATTTGCTTTTGTGTTGATTATTTATTTATTTATTATTTATTTTTAATTTTAAATCATATGTATAATGAAATGTATATTTCATATATAAAATATACTACAAATAATTGATGTAAAAATGACGTTCTAAAATTGTGAAATAGTATATATAATACAAGATTTACAATTGAAAAATATCATCGTAGAATATGAAATTAAAATGTGTTTGAAAATATTTCTGTGACAAACTATTTATTGACATCAAACATATACATCATATTGACAAAACAACATCTACCGAATTGAGCTTGTATTAATATAATATATAGACGTGTAATATGTTATGGTGGCTTGGAGCTTCTTCAAGGAGAGTTTCTGCTTATGGATATCCAAATGAATGCAAAACAGATTTCAGAATACTGGCGTTAATAGATTCTTCCTCCCTAGGTTTTTTTTTTTGGAATAGATGTGATTGTGTATTACTCATAGAAAGGGGTTACAAAACGGATTCCCATGTTAAGTGGTAAACAAAATACAGCCGATTTGCTGCTCAAATCTCCAAATCTATCTTAGGCTTGTTGTAATGGAATACCAATCCTCCAGTAGACTGTTGTTGCTAGGGCTGCTACGTAGCTGTAGAAACAGCAAGAGAGTTCTCATCCGACGGTCCAGCTTGACACACGTTTCCTGAATTGATCTCGACTTTGCTTTAAATATTCGAGCATTACGTTCCTGCCATACAATGTCTACAACCATATGTGCTAGCAATTTCGAAAAGAGTACTCGGTTTCTGCTATTATCATTGTTCGGTCTAGAACGCCATTCTTGTCATTGTTCAATGTCTAAAGGTGGGCATTCCCAACAACATTCTGCATATGGAGTCCATACCCCCGAGCTATATTCGACAGGTAGTGGGTTCTTTTGTTTTTTCTGGGTAGATTCGTATGTAGATTCGTGTGAATATACGCCTGTATATTTTTGATGGTTAAAAAATAGTTCTTTATTCTTTGTCTAAAAGTTTTACAAATTTTAAAAAATTACAGAGAGTATGCAATGATCCAAAAAAAATTTTGGAGTGTGTGCTAAGTGATTCGCTGGGAAGGCTGCCATCACCGCGATTGCTAGCCAAAGCCAAAGGATTTTATGCCTGCTCTGCTACGATATGGATATCCTTTTCTTCATTTCGTTCACTGTTCTGTTATTTTTTCTCCTCATGTTGCCTAAATATCTACTTTGGTTTTGCTTTGCATGAATTGGGCTCAAGTTTCGTAGTTTTTCCAGATGAGTGATGGGCAAAGCTATTTCTTTAGGGTTTCAATCTGCTTATCTATGTATTAGATCGCGATATTTGTATTGGTTTTGTATACTGATGTTAATTTAGGGGTGTTCTATTCTCTTCTTCGTAAGACCGATTTTTTGGTTTTCAGTTATTGGTTTTGGTTAGTCTTTAAATCAAAATGGTTACATGCTATTCTCTTAAGTCCATACATATATAAAAAAAGGAGGAGATCCATCGGATAAACCTGTGATAGTGCAGTTTCTTGCAAATGAAACAACTAAGAGCTATGTACAAGCTTAAAAAACTTGCATTGAAAGTGAGTAATAATCAATCAGACATATATAATATAATACACAAACAATGTATAGTTTTTGAAAACTCGCAGATTAGTTATTTTGTATAAACATCTTTTGACACAATATTATATATATATATATATAATATTTGTTTTATTAGCATTAGAAATTATGATTTGGATACTAAAATTAAAATGTATTAGAAATATTGTAAAAATTGAATAACCGATAATATGTTTTAACACTCGATTTATTGAAATATGATTTAGGTTTTGAATGGATGGAGTTTTTATTTTGGGTTTTTGGTTTTTGGCTTTTTGTTTTTATAGATTTGTAAATCCAAAAAAATGTAGTTTTTAGTTTTTAGTTCATTTTTTTTTCTATAAAGTAGTTTTCCTACCTTTTAGGAAAACCAAACTTAAAAAACTTGATTGGCAATTTTTTGAGTTTTTAAAATCTAAAAACTCTAAAAGCTCTCTCCATTCAAGGCCTTAATGTGAATATATGTTCATTCTATTGTTAAAATATAATTCGTAAATAATAAGATAAAATTTAAAAATATAATTATTTCAAAAATTAATGGTTAAAAATGATAAACAATCTATTTTATAGGTAATGAAATTCCTAATGAATATATATATATATATATATATATATATATCAATATTTATAGAGCTAAAATATATGAAATCCTAGATCTAAATATTATTTTACATTTCTTCAATATGAATTCAATCTCGAACAGCTGTGTCTCAATTCCATTTCTTCAACACTTGAAAATATAGAGATATGTGTTCTACCTTCTTGTATTAATACGGTTCAATTTATATATTTAAATCATTCAACCTATTCATCAAATATTATAATTTTTACAAAATATAGTGATATTATTCCTGTAGTAAATATATAAATATATAAGCTTTCATATCTTATCATTTAGTTTTTCAAATCGTGACATAATAATAATTTGGATATTTGTTTTACCATTTATTTTATAGAAAAAACTTATATTTCTATATTTTATTTATATTTATTTTCTTGGTTACAAGGTTTATTGAAAAAACACTCCAATTGTATCAATAGGTTCAATAAAATTTATTTAATAAATTATATTATTAATGATTTCTAGATTCTATAAATCATAAATAGATAACAAATAATAAATTTTACATTCATTTTAAAAGATAATACTATTGAAAAAGGTTGATACCACCATTTATAAAATTCTCAAAGAAAATTGTAAAATATGTATATACCACGATTTGCTAGCGTTGACAAATAAAAAACAATATTTACAAGGTTTGTCAAATAACAAAATAAAAAAAAAAATATATACTTAGATTTAAAAATCAATATCTATTCTTATGTTGCATATATTATTGGAGTTTTTGCTTTAGTAAAATGAATAAATTTATAAATGATATCGTAACTCAGAAAATTATTTTTTATTTATTATTCAAAGTAAATTTAAACATTTTAATTTAGTTGCAATCAATATAATTAAAACAATTTATATCAAACTTTGTTTCTAATCAACTAACATATAATTTAGAAAAAAAAAACAGAAATAATATCGTAAACCTTTACGTACGAGACGATCATGAAGAAGAGATTCGATTACAAGGCATAATAAATGACATAATAAATATTGCATAGTAAATCCAAAACATATCGAGAAAATTATTAAAGTATAAATAAATTTATATATTTTTAATAGATTCATATATAAAATAATATCAATATTAAGCATACTAATACTTTTTAATTAATCAATTGTTAGTCAACACATATTTGTTTAAAAAGATTATATAGGTGAAAAATTAAACATTATAAAAAATAGTTAATGTCAAATATATAAATTTAATATTTAAAAAATTATAACTATAATATTTAAAAATATCATTTTTATTATCCTAATAACTATTTTTTATATATATAGAAGAAAATAAACATCAATAACGAAGACAATCAGAACAAATTGGTGACATCGAATCTATACAACGTTTATGCAA